CTATTTTTGTGTCCTAAGGCAACACACTGCACCCCCTTTCTCTCAAATTAACCTGTTGTGTGAGAAGGGTGCCACCGTGTATGAATGTGCTGCATACATCAAGACTAGAATCACATAACATATATTTAAAAGTAGGAAGTATACTTCTTTTATTTTACAGCTTTTAAGATGAATAAAAATACTATCAGGGAATGGAAAACAAAGCACAAAAGTCTCCTGTAAAGACACACCAGGACATTGTCAGCAGTGAGCGACAGCACCGGCCTCCAACAGAATAACAGGGTAATGAAGCCATCAGAGATCTGCACCAGCCCCACCGTCCAAGAGCTGTACCGAGCAGATGGCACATTAAGCCCCAAATATATCTATTAAAAGACTTTTCCCTTAAACGCATTTTAAATCCAAAGTAGTAGGAAGCCCGCGCCCACATGCTCCCGCTGGGAACGCCACTCGGCCCACACCCCTCTCTGGAGCTGTAAAGGAGGGAGGATCCAGATGATGGCACAGGCACCATCCCAAAACACAGCACACTTAATGGACAATTGGAGGGGCAGAACTTATTCTCACAGCCTTAAGAGCAATCCTCTCTTTTTCTCAGTGAAAACTAGTGATTTGATGAATCTTATTACAGCAGCACCAACAGCTTTTTTGCAATTTGTGGTACCAAGTTTTATTCATTACTTTCTTACACATTCTTCACACACTAAATATTGACCATTGTTTACAGCTTTCATATGTTTAGGGAATGTAGAATCTGAAGGCCCACCTCTCTCACAAGTGAACACAGACAAGCCCAGTTCATCACCCAAAATGCACAAGCTTACCATTTTTGTTACCTTGTCTTTATTGTATGCTTTATATTTTATTGTGAAAACATATAATATTTTACATTAGCACTATCAAGGACTCCACTCCTGTGAGGTCCCTTATCCACACATGCTCCTCCTCCTACCATACAGGTGGCACATGGATCTAAAATAGTAACTGGATAGGGTTTTACAAACTTATAGCTCTCCCACCCATGGTCACTGGGGGCACTCATGGTACAGAAAAATAAATACACGTGGGCTACTCGGAAAAATGTCCCTTAAAACTCAATGTAAACTAAAACAACTTGACCTCAGCTGACAGAGAACCTGCAGCTTTCATAAAGGTCGGATTTGGTCAATATCAGAGAGAGTGAGCCAATGTCATATGTGAATGCAGTCAAGAATGCCATTTTTGAAATATATTTCTGGACTTGACAGGGGAAGTTTCTGATGTGAAAACTGAAGCATGAATCAAACACACTGTCTGCACACCACTTTGACAAAACATATGAAGGATACAAGAATGATTTGGGTTGGCCAAAGAGATGGCAAGTGGCGGCATCCCCGTCCGCTCATCTCCAAATATCTTGGTACACCTTCAAGGATCAAATACTCTGCTAAAGGCAGAAAGGCCTGCTTCGAAGTGATGTATGAGGCATGCATACAAGGTTTCTAAGCCTTCCTCCTGTGTCCAGCGACAATAAGACTCTCCGAGTGAAGTAAGGATTACATCTTTCAAGAGGCGAGTCAGGCTCAAGCCTTTATTTCCACAACTTAGAAACACCTTGCATGTGATCTCCATCCCATATAACTACACAACAACATTTGACGTTATGGGATTGTATCACCCCACAATGAACCATGCTTTGTTTGATGAGTGGGAACGAGGAGAAGGAGCAGGGCAGATGGAGTCAGCAATATTATTACTATTTTGCTGTCCAAACTGCAGGAATATGGGATCGGGGTCAGCCTGCACATGGATCTAAAGTTATTACAAATCGACAGCAACTAGGGATGTGCCGATCCGAACTCTGGGTGTGTTCATGTGGCTACTAGTTAAAACATGTCAAAAGTGTGGCAGTATTTCTCATATAAAAACGAGGACTGCACAAAAGCATCATGCAGAGTATGCAACATGTTATTAAGGCGAGGTGGGAGCAGCAGAAAATGTTCTCCCTTCTCTTGGACCACGACTCTTTATTTGATTTATTGATAATCTGTAAAAATTGTTTGCCGATGATATAAGCAAATTATTCTGTGAAGTTCCTGTAACAATAGAAAAGGAAATTGTAAGTAAGTAAGTAATGTTTATTTATATACCGCCTTTCACAGACCTGAGTCAAAGTTATACTTTGTTTTAAGACAAAATGTTTTAACTGGGACAAAACGAAACATATCATTTTTGGGAACGGAGGACAAATTAGATCATTAAAATTGCTGCTGATGGCGTTAACTTCGAAATAGTAACAGCTCATCATCTGTATAAAAAGTAAAATAAGTTAAAGTATTTGTATTTTGTATCTAGCTATTGGCCTGTAATTCACTTCAGACACATATAGCACACATTCACTACAAACATAGAACTTGCAATTATAAACAATTACTGTTTCAGAGAGCTTTATAATAAAACTAATACATAATTAATTCCAGACAACTTAACTTTAAATACCATGTTGATTACATTGTTATTGATTGTAAAGAAAGCCAAGCAAAAGCTAATGCCTAAAGAAGGTTCAAGTAGAGGTTCAAATGAATGTCAGAGAATTATATATCATTTGATTTTAGGTCTGCATTTGTAAGGACAAACATGAAACAGAAGTGCGTGTCTGTATGACAATTATGGACCAGACTTTGTTTTTTTTAAATTGAACATTTTTGAATATGAAGACAGTGAAAAACTGTAGATGTAAAGTAGTAGATTGATTGTATGCAAATAGGTTAAAAAAACCTTATTGGATGCATAAATTGAGAGTTATAAACCTGTGTCGCCTGCAGAGATGCAACACCTCCATCGCTACAGCCTCTTTTCCATCAGATGTCACTTCAGTCTATAATATGCAAAGAAAGGAGGTCAGCCATAGTCGGACTCCCTTTTGGGCTTTAAATAAAACAGGCTCGTCATGTAGAGTGACACAATCTGAGTTATTAACAGCTCTCGCCGGGCTGCGACGGGCTCCCGGGGCAAAAAGAAGCAAAGTGTAAAGAGGAACTTAAGTATTCCCTTGCAATGACGTTATATGAACAATAAAATCCACTCACAAGTGATGTCCCTGTGACGTTTCTGGGTGTGTTGGAATAAATGGAAGTGAGATTGACAGGTGTGACTCCAGCTCAATAGCCCAATAAGGAAATGTGTTAACTATAAGAAGACAATGTGATAGCACTGGCAGAATCCTTTTAGATTATTTTAACTAATGTGAGATTTTGTTTGACGCAAGGGCCGCAGATATTTATTGACTAATAGTGTCTTAATTATTTGTATACATTGAGCTTTAATAGATTGTTCCTTCATCAAAATCTGACCTGCAATTTTTGTTTTAGCTGCAGTCACAACGTCTGACTGACACTATTTATCAAAACTAATTACAGAGCTTCTTTCACACTGCGTCGCTCTGGAATGCAGATAATCAGTCCTGAGAGCTGTGACTTTAGATCATCTGTGAGATCTAGATCCACGGGTGTCGCAACAGATCGCAAAAGATCGCAACAAAACTTTCCCGAAGCCATAAGAATACAAAATCGGGGCGTACTCTGTCTCTCTTCTGTTTTTGTGTTATACTGTTATTGAGTGTGCCAAATACTTTACCGAACACCTGCAGGAGGTACATAAGTAACAAACAATAATACACTAAACTAAACTAAAGTAAATACTGTATTATGCATTGGAGGATGATGTGAGATTTTGTCTCTTTTTTTGACTGAGACACAAATGGAGGTTCAAATGCGAGTGATAGATGTTGTTTAAACCGTTGTTAAAAAAAAAAAAACCTACCTGTGGACTTTGTTGTGGACACTGTACTTTGTGCGTCTAATAATATAAACTTTGTACAAAGGACGCCACTTTTTTCATGAAGACTTACACGAAGCCTTGCCAACAGTGTTTTGGTTGACATTGTTACTTTGGAACTGTCCACAGCACACAATCAAGGTGCTCTAGAAGGTAACAGGTATTTTGACATGTAAGTAATTAAGTAAGTATTCTTTATATAATGTATATAGCACATTTCACTGACCAAGGTCACCCAACGCGCTTGTTTTTAGAGCACACATTTTCCTTTTTTTCATTCACTCCTCACACGGTGATGACAAAAGCAAGACACTGAACAAACTGCTGCATCAAAGTCTCCGAACACCATCCATTCACTCACTCATTACATGCATACGTTTTTTACATGTTTTTAGCGGTAGGGAAACCGGGAGCACCCAGAGAAAACTCAGGCATACATGGGGAGAGCATGCAAACTCCACACAGAAAAGGAGGTTGACTCAGGACCTTCTTGCTGTTAAACCCAAGCTCTAACCGCTGCTCCACCGTGTCGCCCGATGTGCTGTGTGTTTGGATGTTATGGAAAGTAATTAATAATTGATAAGAAAAAGAAAGAAGGAGACCAAACTTATGAACTGAACCGTGCCGTTTATTTACTCCTCATTATGTAAGAATTGAATCGTGTCTCGTTTTTGTGGACCAAATCATCTCGTGGGAAATGTCTGTCATGCATTGTTTTACCTTTATCTCCGCCTGTGCCGAAGACTCATTTGACGTTTGGTTCTGATTAGTGCTAGAACAACAGCCCAGGGGGGTTCCGCAAAGCTTTAGACACATTCTTTAAGTACGCCATGTTTTTCTTATAAAAACGGAGAGAAACCACACTGACAGCCTGCTGCAGAAATGTGCTTAATTGGGATGTTTTGCGGACGACTCAAAGTGTAAAAGGTCCTTAAAATATTCCATGAAACTGTTAGTTGCAAAAAATGAATATTGAATCTCATTACGATCAATGGGATGAAACTTTGCTAGGAGACAGATTCAGAAGAAATAAAACCAGGAATAAATTGGATTTTTGTCCGAGTGCCATTCATTTGAATTGAATCACAACAACAAAACTAAAAACAGCTGTATAATACCATTCAATCACTATTTAATATCTTAACTCGTGTTGCTGTAAATAATGAATGAGTGAGTGCGCAGACATGCAGAGCAGTTTGCACCAGCCTTCGTCTGCCGCAGCCCGTAGCTCGGAGCAGATGGTCGGGGCCCCTGTGGTTTGGCCCCTGTCCTCGGTACATGGAGCAGACAGCAGGACCGGATCTCTGCTCAGCGGGGCCCTCGAGGTCTGGTCTACCCCCCCAAAAGCCCTCTTTCCCCTTCCTCAACCTCAGTCTGTGCTAACGTAGATTGTGTTGCAGTCCTGTGAAGAAGACATAAGCGTTTTTCTGCTATTTCGTTTCAATCTTCTACGTCAGCCTTTCACTTTTCTAGGGCTCAAATCTTTTCTGAATTAAAAAAAATAAATCAAATATATTTATTTCAAAACTTGTCTAAACATTCAACAAAAATTAAAGAGGACGTAACTCAATCAGAAATAGTTTAAAAAAAGGTTTGAACGAAGTTGACGCTTATGTGTTTCAAAAAGACTCTCTGACCCTACATCATCCTCTCATTCGTCCACGATCTTCTTCAGTGTTGTTTGTTTTAAATTGAATGGGATTTGAACATATTTTCAATTCATCTACTAAGTTCTTCCAAAGAGTTACTCTAGACACTGAGATACACATTGATTAGTTCTAAATTCAGGCAGCTCTTTTCTTCCTCAAGGTCTATAATTATGGTGGTTCATCCGTATCATGGAATATGTTTTGTATATTTGGTGGCAGAGAGTTGCAAAGTGAATCAAACATGTCAATTAAAACCTGTCGTTAATGCCAGATGTATTGTGTTTGTATAGTTTTGCTTGATTATTGGACATACATTATTGGACATACAGTACTTTTCCCATAAGACTTAGATGTGTAAAATGTATTATCACTATCTCACAAATGTATGATATCAGAGCTGAGATACGCTGATATAAGGCGTCTTGGTGTAGGGTTATTGGGCAGAAACGATGAGCAAATGGCAGGTGAAGAGGACAGTGACCCTTGCTCTGTTTCAAATTGCCGATACGTGCCCTGGCTAATGGGGACTTCCTGGTTCACACTAAAGTCAGCCAAGACTGTGCAATCCAAGCGGGGGGGGGGGGCTTTATTCTGGATTGGACCATATATATAACGTATATCGTTTCCTCTCAAATCAAACCTTTCAGAAAAAATGTCAAACAATTTTCAAGCGATTAAAAGTCAAAAAGTCAAAGAAGGTGGGGGCACCTTGTCATTGCTTTGTCAGGACTCAGGAAATGTACCAGTTTTTTTTTTTTTTTTTTTTATTCTTTATTTGAATTGGGACAGTGCACATTAATCAACATGTGTTTTTTAAACATGTAAATGCGCCGGAGTTAGCCATATAGCTAATTTTCATCCGTAGTCCCTAGAGCTCTAGTCATACTAGAGCTTACATTGATGGCAGTATTCTTGTATTTTAAAGGTTAACTCGCTTGTTCTCATACAGTATAGATTGGCGACTTTTATGTACAGTGCCATGCGAAAGTATTCGGCCCCTTGAACCTTTCAACATTTCGCCACATTTCAGGCTTCAAACATAAAGATATAAAATTTTAATCTTTTGTCAAGAATAAACAACAAGTGGGACACAATCGTGAAGTGGAACATAATTTATTGGATAATTTAAACTTTTTTAACAAATAAAAAACTGAAAAGTGGGGCGTGCAATATTATTCGGCCCCCCTTGCGCTAATCCTTTGTAGCGCCACCTTTTGCTGCAATTACAGCTGCAAGTCGCTTGGGGTATGTCTCTATCAGTTTTGCACATCGAGAGACTGGAATTCTTGCCCATTCATCCTTGCAAAACAGCTCGAGCTCAGTGAGGTTGGATGGAGAGCGTTTGTGAACAGCAGTCTTCAGCTCTTTCCACAGATTCTCGATTAGATTCAGGTCTGGACTTTGACTTGGCCATTCTAACACCTGGATACGTCTATTTGTGAACCATTCCATTGTAGATTTGGCTTTATGTTTTGGATCATTGTCCTGTTGGAAGATAAATCTCCGTCCCAGTCTCAGGTCTTTTGCAGACTCCAACAGGTTTTCTTCCAGAATGGTCCTGTATTTGGCTCCATCCATCTTCCCATCAGTTTTAGCCATCTTCCCTGTCCCTGCTGAAGAAAAGCAGGCCCAAAGCATGATGCTGCCACCACCATATTTGACAGTGGGGATGGTGTGTTCAGGGTGATGAGCTGTGTTGCTTTTACGCCAAACATATCGTTTTGCATTGTGGCCAAAAAGTTCGATTTTGGTTTCATCTGTCCAGAGCACCTTCTTCCACATGTTTGGTGTGTCTCCCAGGTGGCTTGTGGCAAACTTTAAAGGAGACTTTTTATGGATATCTTTGAGAAATGTTCCACTCTTCCATAAAGGCCAGATTTGTGCAGTACACGACTGATTGTTGTCCTATGGAGAGACTCTCCCACCTCAGCTGTAGTTATCTGCAGTTCATCCAGAGTGATCATGGGCCTCTTGGCTGCATCTCTGATCAGTCTTCTCCTTGTTTGAGATGAAAGTTTGGAGGGACGGCCGGGTCTTGGTAGATTTGCAGTGGTCTGATACTCCTTCCATTTCAATATAACTGCTTGCACAGTGCTCCTTGAGATGTTTAAAGCTTGGGAAATATTTTTGTATCCAAATCCGGCTTTAAACTTCTCCACAACAGTATCTCGGACCTGCCTGGTGTGTTCCTTTGTCTTCATGGTTCTCTCTGCGCTTTAAACAGAACCCTGAGACTATCAAAGAGCAGGTGCATTTATACGGAGACTTGATTACACACAGGTGCATTCTATTTATCATCATCAGTCATTTAGGACAACATTGGATCATCCAAAGATCCTCACTGAACTTCTGGACTGAGTTTCCTGCACTGAAAGTAAAGGGGCCGAATAATATTGCACGCCCCACTTTTCAGTTTTCTATTTATTAAAAAAGTTTAAATTATCCAATAAATTTCGTTCCACTTCACGATTGTGTCCCACTTGTTGTAGATTCATGACAAAAGATTAAAATTTTATATCTTTATGTTTGAAGCCTGAAATGTGGCGAAATGTTGAAAGGTTCAATACTTTCGCAAGGCACTGTATATTATATTATATAATAGATAAAGGATTTCAGTTAAGGCAATACCTTTGTTTTAAAAAAGAATAAAATGGCTGTGTCCTTCATGTCATGGTAGGAAACATCTCAGCGTGACAAGTTTGAAAATAGACAATTATGACAGAAGTGGCGGGGGTGTTTGTGGCTTAAACAACTCCAGGTCTGTTTTCAATGTGCAAATAACATTGTAACAATATTGAGAAGTCAAATAAGGGGATTTTGCATGTGTTTTTAGTTAGTTGGGTGATTATGCTTATGGTTAATCGATTAGTTGGTTGGATCGCAAAAGGTTAGTGGATATTAATTTATTTTTATATACTTTTAACCAACTCTATAAAAATGAGTTTTAACAAAGTTGGTTGGTAGTTCTTTTTATATATTTCTATATAATTTTACAGTTTGAATTTTAAGACTTTACAAATTGCTTACATCTGTGTATGTTTCAAAAGCAAGTATTCTACAACATCAATTGATTATGATTTATCATTTAACTGGTAAAAGAATGACGTCTTTAGCGTCAGACTTATTTAGGATCATGAATTATATTGTTTACAGGCTTGGTAAGAATTGTCTAAATGGTGTCTACTGTCTCTCTACTGTCTATTTTCATCTATCTTAGCAATGATACAGACAACAAACTCACCTCCTACACTCGTCATCACAGAAAGCCACATTTCATCCAGCCTTCTCTTCTCGCACATATTCCACCGACAAACTCTGGCACATGTCTTTCTCGCTCTCTTTGTACACACAACAATTGGAAAGCAGTGAGCTCCATGTTGGAACCAGATGAACACTGGCTGAATCTCTCCAGCACAGACACACCTCGGCTGGCTTTACCATACGTCTCATCTGCAGATGAAAACGATAGAGGAAAAGCCCTTTTTCATCAAAAGGCGAGGAATGCATCGCAGAGAGAGGCAGACAGAGATGGAGGAGACGGTGGAGACGGCCAGTCCAACAGGTCGACCATAAAATACCAAAAGTAAACATGGTGCAGAAACAGCTTTTGGAATTAATTTGCACCGGCGTCGCACAGTCCCAAGTCCTTATCAGTGGGATTGTGAAAGGAATCGGGGAAAAGAGTCTCATTAGAATTTGGGTGAACAAGGCAGAATCAAGCCAAAATAGAATCAATCTGATCCAGGGAATGTATTTCAGACCTTTATGAATATGAGGAAAAAAACTTCAAAAAACATCGTCATCCTGATTTGAATATGGCTCACTCCACACTAAACTGTGTCAAAGTGTTACATTTTGGTCAATGACACAAAAAAGTCACAGAAAGTAGACACGATTGTTACGTCCAAAACGCCTAGTTTGTCCGTAGTTATTGAATAATATTTTTTTTGCATAATGTAAAATCTATAATTACATATTGTTTTTAGTTATATCTCCAAACATTATCCATTAAATAGTCTTCTCTGTCCTGTTCATTCTTCCAGAAAGCCTCCAACACGTCGTGTCCTAAATGTAACAAATATGTCCCCAAAGTTCAATCAAATTTTTTGAAAGGCATCAATTTTTCTTGAAATAGTTTTAGCTGGCCTTCTGAGATTAAACTATGTATATCTATAGGCTAAAAAATGTTTAGTTCATACATTTATTTTATTGTCGCTTTAAGTTAGATCGATCAATGGTACAGTTTAGTGTGGAGTGAGCCATATATCAATCTAAAGAAAATGGAGCCTCGTTTCAGGTTCTATTTTGATCCAATGATAAATCTTGTATTTATTTAATTTTCTTAACTTTAATTTGATGTATTAGTCCAGGGGTGGCCAATCGTGAGTGGCATGCGGCTCTCAGTCTTTCACACGACAAGCGTCAAAAACGCCTTGGTGGTGGCGCTGCCATTCATTCCCGATGTAGTTCTGACCCATAGTAAAGGCCGACTTCACTCCACTAGCCGGGCCGCCAAAACAATCTGACAACGGCGAACGTCAATTCTGATTGGTCAGATGCACTGTCAATCACTCTGCAGCCACTGCCTCAGCTGTTGCAAATACCATAACAAACAACACGTTGCCTCGACCCATGAGGTCCGTAAGGAAAACAATTCCTTGGTCGCTGGATGAGGGCAACACCTTCCTCAGTTTGAGGAGAGGACACCAGCGTGAGCTCGATGGTTCCACCAGAAACCAGAAGGTGTTTGTGGAGCTAGCACTAAGGACGGAGCAGAATGATTCCCACGAACATGACAATGCAGAGAAAAGTTAAAAAGCTTTAAAAGTGACAACCGTGAAATGAAAGATCACAGCAGCAGAAGTAGAGGCAGACCCGAAAAGTCTGGAGGTGGTTTGACCAAATGGATTAAATTTACGGACATCGGCTAACGCCGGCTAACACCGGCTAACAAGCTAAAACCAGCTAAGAGATAAGCCAACTCTGCCTGGTGAGTGTCTGTCTTCAATCAAATACGAAAGTATCTGGTCTTACACTGAACATGTGTCTGTGGTTCTAAATCAGCTAAAGTGGTGTTGGTGTTATGTGTCAAATCTATATCTTTTGCTAAACACAGTCAGAGAGTGAATCATGGTTCGATACAGACAGTTGTGTTTCTGCTGAACACTGGTTTGAAACTTTTTTCATTTCGGAATCATAATTGATGTTCGCTGACGTGATATTGTTCTGGTATCGACTCGCCCGGTTAGAACCAGGGCCAAACCATTAATAAAAAGTACCGGGGAGCGGCTAAAGCGATCGGTGGAAGCGCCCGCAAACCGGGGAGAGTCGAGTCCAGCCCTTTAGTACTGTACGAGTCAATTTCTGTCATTATCATGTTGATGACATTTACAATACATCTGTCTGAGCAGAGGTGTGTGTGTGTGTGTGTGTGTGTGTTCGCGCGTGTGCGTGCGTGTCTATGCGGTGATGTTTATGTAGTGCATATTTGATGATGTGGCTCTTTGCTGTAACACAGTAAAAAAAATTGGCTCTTAGTCTGTGACTGGTTTGCCGCCCCTGTATTAGTCCCTTTCTGGATCACGGATCAGGGCGGTGATTATCTGAGCCGCCACCATTGTGTGCCACTGACCTGTAGAAACACTAACAAATACACAATTACAATACTTTATTCAAGGTGGGGGGATTTCTCCATGGTCTCTAAGTTTGGAGTTCGGAATGAAAATTTAAAAATCTTTAATAATTTTGTTAGTTGTTTAGTGCACTGATAACAAGGCGTGTTTGTTATCAAAATCAAATATATAAGACTGTCATGCCTATAACCACACTTTTGGAAAACCAAGATAAGCAATTAGAAAGAAGTTTTCGTCCTAACTTTTCCACCCAAGATCTGTTATAATCGTTCCATCTCTTGGGGATATTTTCCATTTTTCGCGACATTCTTTCCCTGAACTTTTCTTTAAACTGTTAGTCGTCTGCCAATTTGGAAGTGGTACAGTAGGAACAGATGAGCTGAAACCATCAAACTACGCTCGGGTGAATTCGCCGACAGTGAAAAATGTCCCCACCGCGCGCAACACTTTTCTATCAAACTCTACGCAAACGTTGGAAGTCCTAATATCCAAATTAGTTCCAGCTCTTTCTTTTCCGCTTAATCTCCTCATCCTCCTCCTCGCGGTCCTTCTCTCTCCTGCTCTCCTCCCGGACGATTAAAATGCATACCTGATCTATTTTCATTAACGGTGGGAGGGAAGCGGGCCGCGCCATAGCCGTCCAAGCACTTAGGGTATTATGGCACTTTGAATGTAATCAATGCATGGGGCCTTTTAAGCTGGAGACAACACTACGGCGTCCAAAATAAATGGATTTCCCTTCAGCACCAGGAAGTAAAATCTCATCGCTTGGCTTTATGGGGACTATCTTTCAGTTGCACTTAAGAGGAGAGGCGTGCGTGGGGCTCGGGCCAAGGTACAGATGAATGGAAACGCAAAGGGGCGATTAAGGTAAGGGCTGGGAGGAGAGATGTGAGTCTATACACACAGACCAGCACCAGGGACTAGTCCATATTTAGTCAAGTTCAAGTCACAAAATCACATAACATGATGGGCATTTTTCTAGATTTTTGACAGATCAGGATTTACATGAACAACACTGCAGTGAGTCCTAGGATTAGTTTACAGCCTCCTCCCTAATCAAAACCTTGTAAAATTATCAGAAATGCGCCTCTGTCACTTCAATTACCATAAAACCTTTTGAGATGCCGTCATTATCAGCTGTTTGCTTGACGTAGCAGAAGCGCTAGTCTGCGAATATTCCACTAAAAATTGATGTAAGTTATTCAATATTTAGCAAACGATTTATTGACTTTGATTTCTCCATCAAGTTTTAGCAGAGTTGGGTCTCGCGGTGCTTGTCCAAACATGCTGGATTTTAACTCGAGATTGGAAAGGAACAGCGCTTTCTTTTTGAGTACTTTATGTAATCCAACTAGTACCATAGCTCTAAAACTGATTGGTTCTATCACTAGACAGAAAAGTGAAACAAGAGTACCCTCATTCAGCCAATCAACTCAAAGTGTGTGATATTATGCAAAATATAACATGTTTTCTTATTTTGACGAAGAGAGCACTGTGTTGTCTGATTTGTTCTCAACATTTACCTTTTACTAGATTTTCTGTTGGTTCAAACCACACCTTATTTATTATTTATGGGGGGGAAGTTAGGTACCCTAGATATTATGCCGAGTGACTTTCCAAGCAAAGCAATAACGTCTCCAATGTGGCATGTGGTGGACCAGTGCAGCGGGCTTACCCTTTTGTTTTGACTTTCCCACTTGCTCTTTGACGCAGAGGCCATAGCATTTTAGAAAATAGATGGAACCGCTCCTGTGTAAAGTTTGCTCAATGCACCGGGATATTTATTGTGTCGGGAGCACTGTGGGCAAATGTCCTCTCCCTCCTCTCCCTAGGATGCACAGGGTCTCTGCTTCGCAGCCACTGGCAGTCTAGTTAGAGGAGAGACCCGGCTGGGGCCCTGTCATGAAGCCACCTGTGCCATTCCCATAGTGATAACACAAAGAATACATTACAGAAAGACATCTGGAGTTAATCAGTCTAATCTGGAAAATCTAATTCTTGTTCCGTGTAAGAATCAGCCGACCACAACCGCTGATACTGAAACTTTGAAACTTGCTATGCTAAATGTCAGATCTCTTTCTAACAAGTCTTTTTTAATCAATAATTTTATTTGTTCTTATAATCTTGATCTTATGTTCATGGCTGAAACATGGCTTGACCAAAATACAGAAAATGCAGTTTTAATAGAAGCATCACCACCAAATTTCAAATTTGAATCTGAAATACGGGAAAACAAAAAAGGAGGAGGCTTAGCTGCCATTTTCAGAGACCACTTTGTCTCCCATAGAATGTCTCTTGGGAAGTTTCCGTTTTTTGAATATGTGTCTTTTAAAATACAACAAAAACAATCTCCTCCAATACTCTTCGTTGTCCTATACAAGCCACCGCAGTCATGTCACAGTTTTATTGATAATTTTACCGAGTTGCTTTCTGTTGTATGCACAGATTTTTAGTTATTACAGGTGATTTTAATATTCATGTGGATAATGTTGATGACAGAAATGCAAAAGAGCTGAGTTCTTTACTTGATACCTTTGGTCTCACTCAGCATGTGAGTGGCCCCACCCACAGCAGAGGGCACACTCTAGACCTGTTAGTTACAAAGGGGGTGAATATTTCAAATATAAGCGTGGTCGATGTTGCTCTTTCGGATCATTTCTGTGTATTTTTTGACATGTGTTTCACTAACAAACCACCAGTGGACTCTGCAACTGTTCGAAGAAGACACATAAATGAAAATACGAGTGATCTATTTATGGGAATGACTTTGAGAATGCATCGTATTCTACTGTAGATGAACTGTTTAACTCTGTCACCTCTAGTGTTTTGAATGTTCTGGATACCGTTGCCCCTGTGAAGGTTAAAATAGTAAAAAATAAGCAGAAGGCGCCGTGGGCTAAAGCAGACTCGGTCAGGGCACAAAAGAGAAAGTGCCGG